GATGTGCCCATCCCTTAGGCCCACTCTTCACAGGAGCCCTCCTTCAGGGTCTCAGGATGTTCTTCCTAAGTTTTCAAGAGTCAAACCATCTCTGAACTCAGGAACAACTGGTAACTCAGACCCCATGAGCCAGACTTCTCCCCTCTAGCTCCTCCTCCCATCTCCAGGCCCTGCCCCTCTTTTCAGACAACCCCTACCACGTACCCGCCAGACACTCCTCCCTTGGCATCTCTCAGTTGCCCTCCCTGGAAGTTTCATACATTTAGTTCTCTCTAGGACCACACTGCTGACACCTCCAAACCCAAGTCCCCCAGCTGGACAGCTCCCAGATAAACCCTGTCCTGGGTATTCGCCCTGGAAATCCTTCCTCTGACCTACAATGGCCATTCCCCAACCTGCTTTCCTGTTACTGTGCCCAGATGTCAAGCCAGAAACCAGGGCAGCTCCCCAGATTCAGAGTCAGTAACGTCCGTCAACTCTGCCCCTTCTGTGACCGGAGTCTGTGCCATGCCTTAGGTCTTATCACCCATTTGTCTCTTATTCCGCTCCCTCCCAGTCTGCAACCACAATGGCTTAATTAACTAATTAGCTATTACTTTGTTCATGTATGTGCCTGTACACAGCACACGTGTGGAGGTCAGAGGACAATTTTGTGGAGTTGATTCTCTCCTTCCACCTTTACTTGGGTTCCAGGGATGGAACTCTGACCGTCATCAGGTTTGCATCCTGCTTGCATGAGCCAAGTCTTTACTAGTTATACCATCTCACTAGGCTTGCAAGGGCTTTTCTCTCTTAATTCTACCATTTTGAAGAAGGGAAAAAAGATAGAGATGAGCCTCAGTCGTTCTCAGCTGGAGTGTGATATTCTCTCTCTCTCTCTCTCTCTCTCTCTCTCTCTCTCTCTCTCTCTCTCTTGCTAACCAGTGTTGACACTACAGTTTCACAACTGATAAGGACCCTCAGACACACCTCACTGTTAGCTATCTGAAATCCTTGCTTTTCACAAGCCCCTCCCTTCATCAGCCACTTCCTTCCCCCATCTCCATTTCTGTCTCTGAAGACTTTTCCTTCAAAGGCTGACACTGGGCAGATACAAACAGGGTGGCTACCTGGCTTGTGAGGACGGCCCCTTGTGTGGGAATGATCTCAAGCAGACAACACCTCCCCACTCCCCATCTCCTGTATGCTACCAGACTCCAGGCTCTTGCATCCCCCAGGTCTTTGCTGATTAGATCAGGGGTCTTGAACCAAGCTGGACCCGTGTCTTGCCTGATTGCTTGGAATTTAGAGTCCTCGAGGTTTTGGAAGTTCTAGGAGAGTCACTCAATGTCACGCCCATGACAGAGCATTACAGGAACAGCCACCACCCTCAAGGCTAGGACAACCTGCTTCCTGCCTCCTAATTAGATTAGCTGTCCCTTTGCTTCTATGCAAGGCCAGGATCCTTCCATGAGCCTCTTTTTACTCTTTATAATGGAAGAAGCTTAATTCAAGCTCCTCCCATCTCAAGCTCCGCCCATCTCAAGGAGCCTGTAGGAGCCATCCTCCCAATTACCATTTATTTATTTATTTATTTTTGGTTACAGATGTGCCGCTGCGTGTGTGCGTGTGTACACAGATCAGAGGGCAGCCCTTTGGAGCCAGGCTTTCCCTTGGACAATGGTTCTCAACCTGTGGGTCGCCACCCCTTGGAGTCACATATCAAGCATTACAGTATGATTATTCATAAGCAGCAAAATTACAGTTATAAGGTAGCAACGAAATAATTTTATGGCTAGGTCACCACAACATGAAGAACTGTTTTAAAGGGCTGCAGCATCAGGAAGGTTGAGAACCACTGTGTTAGACCTTTACAGGATTCAAACTCAAACTCAGGTTGTCAGGCTAACATAGCAAGTGCTCTCCCTTCTGGGCCATCTTGTTGGCCTCACAGCTATTTTTTTTTCTTTTCTTTATCTCTCTCTTTCTCTTCTTCCTTTCTTTTTTTTTTTTTTTTTTTTTTTTTGAAGACAGGGTCTTTCTACACAGCCCTGGCTGTCCTGGAACTCCCTGTGTAGGCCAAGCTGGCCTCAAAGTCAGAAATCCATCTTCTTCTGCCTCCCAAATTCTCGGATTAAAGGTGTGCACCACACCTGGCCTTCCCATCGCTCAGATTCTTGATGATTTCCTCCACCTTTGCCTTCACGTCCTCACCTTCCCACATTCGCTCCATGGTCATTCAACAAAGGCCACTGTCCCCTGGAGCCCTGTACCACAAAACCCCTTGCAGAAACCAAAATCCATATGCATCTTATATAAAGGATACAATATTTGTATGTACCCTATGCATATTCTCCTGTGTTCTTTAAATCATCTCTGAAGTATTTCTGATTCCTTTTTTTTTCTCTGTAGCTTTTGGTTCCTGTCCTGGAACTAGCTCTTCTAGACCAGGCTGGCCTCGAACTCATAGAGATCCGCCTGCCTCTTCCTCCCGAGTACTGGGATTAAAGGCGTGCACAACCACCGCCCGGCTTGATTCTTTTTTTTTTTAAAGGAACACATGACAAAATTTTATTTTAGCTCTTCTGGGCCAATGCTTACCCTTATGTTCAGATTACAGAAAATATTTTATTTAAATATGAAAAAAATCAAATATCTCTCTAAGTGAAACCGCTAAAGATTTGGCTTCTTATCAAACATAAGTGACATATTTGGCTTTTTAAAAAACATCAGAGACATCCTATTAAGTTGTTACACAAACTGCTTTGTTCTCCCAGCTGTCTAATGTTCATGGGCAGTCTGCTTCTATGGTGCACGGCACATACACAGGCTTGATCACTAGTCCCATAGAAATACTTAAGTGAAAGAAGAAAGATGATCTTTGCGATTACATAAGAATCCCCCAAATTTGACTAGTGTGTCCACTTACTAAAGAAGCCACCCATGACCCAAAGCACCTTCCCACTAGTTAACTGCCATTCTCATTCCCATCATATCCAAACAGCTGAGAAATAACTCAGAGCTAGAATGTGGCCAGGTGCCTTGGCAGTCTGATGTGAATGTCTAGAAAGTGGACAGGAAATAAAGAATCCTGCTTTCCTTCAAGAAAACTTTCCAGAAGGAGGTGGGTGGCCAAGGAATCCACCGGCCTGCTTGGTGGCTGCTCGAGACGGGGCAAGGCCAAGCATCTTCTGAATGTTTTGTCGAGCTGACATAGAACAGAGAGTGTACAGGAAGATGAAGAACAGTCTGTGGTGTTGTTGCCCAGCAGGTTGCCATGAGACACCCTTGGATGGGAGAAAGAGGGGTGAAGGGGAGCTTTGCCACCGCTCCACCATCAAACGTGAAATTAAACATTCCCATTAAGGCAGCAAAACAAAAGCCAGCTGCAAACATGGATTTCGTTCGTACCGTTGACAGATCTCGATGGTTCTTTAGTTTCTCTTCTTGTCTATCTTTCTTTTTATGTTATCGACCAGCTGACTCTGTTATAGTTTCCTTCTTCTTTTCTAATTTTTTTACTTTGTTTTTTCACTTCTGCCTTCAATCTCTTGTACTCGTCTGTCCTGTAAACCAGGAACCACACTACGCCCTCGGCGCTACGCCCTCGGCACTACGCCCTCAGCAAGCAGCGCGGTGCACTTGGAGATTAAAAACCGTGAGCATCGCATCTGCAAATGTGGTGCTCACCTCATGTCCCTGCCAGTGCTCCCACCTTTCATACGGTATGGGGGAGTGCTCAAATGCCAGCCAGAGACCTGGGGGACCAAGGAACACTACCTCTGATTCTTTTAATTTTCGTTTTGTTTCGTTTTTGAGACAGGATTTCTCTGTGCAGCCCTGGCTGTCCTAGAACTCGCTGTGTAGACCAGGCTGGCCCCAAACTCAGAGATTCATCTGCCTCTGCCTTCCGAATGCTGGGATTAAAGGCAGATGCTACCACTACTGGCCTTAATTTTAATTTTGTATGTGTGGGTGTTTTGTGTGCCCGAGTCTGTCCACCGTGTGTGCCTTCAATTCTAGAAGATCCCAGAAGCAGGTGTTGGATCCCCTGGAATTGGAGTTACACATGGTTGTGAGCTGCCATGTGGGTTCTGGGAACTAAACCTGGATCCTCTGTAAGGGCAGTAAGCAGTCTTGACCACTGAGCCATCTCTTCAGCCCCACATCGGTTCGAGACAAATGTCCTCACGTCATTCCGTCTTTGTGGACTCAGCACAGAATAGCGGCATATGACAAACTCAAAGCTTCACTGTCTGGATCTCTCTGGACATCCTCACCGAATGTTTTCCTCCAGCGTTGGCCGAGTCTGAAGGGCCAAGTGTATTTAAACTGAGATTACAGTCTAAGACACGACCTGGCCTCAGGCTCACAGGCTGCTCTCACTGTGTAGGGATGAAAATACTGCTGGCCGGGAGAGCAGCTAGGAGCCATTTTTCTGCAGGGGTGTAGTTACTATGAGGACACCCATTATCTGGGTAACAATCCTACATGTATACACATACAAACAGCCCTAGTTAAAGCCATTGGATTATTTTTTTAAAGATGAAAGTAGGAAGGTGTTGTAATAGGAGGGAATGTGTCAGAAAGAGTAGAAGGTGGTGAGAGAGGGAAATCAGGTAATTATGACCAAAATGCATGACGTGTGTGTATGAAACTGTCAATTTATTATTTTTATGTTTTTTATATTTCTTTAGTGCCTAGACACAAGTGAGCCACCACACCTGTGTGAAAGTCAGAAGACAGCATTCGGGAGTCAGTTCTGTCCCTCCCACTTTGTGGATCCCAAGGATCAAACTCAGCCTTGGCAGCCTTGGCAGCAACTCCCTTTATCTTCTGAGCCATTTCACTGGCCCAGTAAAAATTATTTTAAATCGGGTGGCAGTGGTGGTGCACACCTTTAATCCCAGCACTAGAGAAGCAGAGACAAATGGATCTCTGTGAGTTTGAGGCCAGCCAGGTCTACAGATGGACCGTGACAGCCAGCACGACAAAGAGAAACCCTGTCTTGGAACGGGGGATTACTTTGATAAAATAAACTGTGACCAGAGAGATATTCATGGGAGGTACCCTGGAGGAGAGGAGATCTGGGCAGCATCTTCCAGCAATGCGTTTAGGATCAGAGAAAATATAAAAGGGACAACTTCTTCTGTTAATCCAAAATGAAAATAGATTTATTAATTCCTGTGAAAAACATATTATAACCAAATCACATACTTTATTTTGATAAGAAAAAATTTTTCAGTAAGAAATTTGGCACGGTCTTCTCCTGCCGGGGCACGTGTGAAATCCTGGGACTTTTTAGATCAGGGCTGCCATCATGATGAAGAACAAAGCCACCCAAGTAGCGGGCGGCTGTGGTAAAAACTCAGTAAGGCAGGGAGGAGGGAGGCGAGGAAAGGGAACCAAGAGGTCTGCACACGGGGGCCTTCCCCACAGTCGTGCCCTGCCAGGGTTTATCCTGGGACAGCAGGAAGCCACGGGGAGTTACTGAAAAGCAGAATTGTCACTTTGACACTGGTGTCAGAAAACAGCCCCTGGGCAAGCTTTAAGTTCTAGCCACTTCTGACCCTGAGGTTTGAGGCATCGCTGTCTCTAAAGTGCCAGGCATGGAGGGAAGTGGGGAGTGTCCAAAGATGGGGCTCAGAGAGAAAAGTGGTCCCGACTCCCTGCAGTCTCCATCTCGCCAGCCCCAGGCTGAATGTAATTGTCCTCGATGAAGCCATCATCATCTTCATCTTCACCCACCTGTGGGCGGTTCCCACCCTCTGGTCTGGACAGTGGGCGATGCCGGTAGCTGGCCCGGTACTGGCGGCAGAGGTGGCACTTGGCAGCAAGGGCAATGAGTAGGGAGAGGACCACTGCCCCCAGCAAAACCCCTACCAGCACAGGCCATGCCCGGCCTCCGGTGCCTGGTCCAGAGGCCGTCGTTGACGACGTGGTGGTGTTGTACACTGAGAACTCGGCTGCATGGAAAGAGACAGGGTTACAAGGGGTCCCCAGATGTGGCTCTCAGGGGACACTGAGGGGACCCAGTCCCTCCTTGACCATTCTCTCTCTCTACCACTCACTTTGGTTTGCTTCAGTCATGGAGAGGCCTGATGACATCGGTGAGCCTTGGCCTCTTTCAGAAAAAGCTTTGGCTCCAGGGACACCCCAGGCTCCAGGCAGCCCTGGGGTACAAGTCCTGAAAAGCACAGAGGTGTTGGGGTCAGAGTTAGATAGAGGGTGCTACAGACAGGACCACTGCCCACATCACTGGTCCATGGAAGAGAAGGTAAGCTGCCATGAATGGAGTTCAGCTCTGGAAGGGGCTGACCAGGAAGTTCTAATGCCTTTAGTAAGAACACTTAGGATCTAGGCACTAGCACTGTGCTCACAGAATCTCACTACATAAGTACAAACACTACCCTGCCTTACTGACGAGAGCACAGAGACCCCCAAATGGAAAATGATCCAACTGAGGTCCCAGAATTTGAACTCAGACCTCTGACATCAGAGCATAGTCTGGCCCGCTCCTTGGCAAGCTGATGGAAACAGGACAGAAGCTGTCTGGGAGCAATTGTGCGGCACTGTCCAGCTCTGTAGCAGACCCCAGGAACAGAGGGTTGTCCTCAGACAGCCAGGGCACCCACCTTTCCGCTCCCGTGTCGGGAGCCTCCCCTACAGTACATCCCAGTCCTTCCAGCGGGCATCTGTCTACTCACCTCTACACACGGGGGCCCACACTGTGCCACCGCAGTGAGGCTTATACTAGGGAACTATTGGAGACGACCACCTGAGTAGGAAAAGATCACAGTGAGGGTCGTGGCACTCAGGGCTGGGGAACCCTGGGGGAGGAGCATCTGAGCCAAGGGAGTAGCTGGAGAAGGTCACATGCATAGGACTAGGCTTGGACACCTCTGAAGGAGGTCAACAACGTGTAGGGAGACACACGTGACCCTGAGGCATGGCCAGGGAAGGAAGAGCAAGACAGCTGAGGCTGGGCAGCATCTGCAGGTGGGCGGCGGGAATCAGAGGTGTCCCTAGGCAGAGTGGCCAAGCAAGGGACTAAAGCACCCAGCTTAGGGGTGTATTCAGCCACAGTCCTGTGTGATACCCAGAGGATGCCCTCATTCATGATGTGCCACTTCCCCCTCCAGTAATTTAACCCTCTTCTTACCCTCTGACGGAGCCATGTCCAAGCGACCTACACTTTGTCTTTATAGCCACAGTCTCCAGCCAAGATCTCCTAGCTGGTGTCTAACAACCCCCAATCCACTTCCCAGAGCCAACTCTCTGAGTCTTAGGGAACTCTTTCCAGTGCTCCCCATATGCCAAATATGTCCCGTTCTTGGCTGAGGAACTCAAAATCCAGCATAGGGGCCCTCAGGCCACACTCTCCTTCCTGGCAGAGCCCTACCCTACACACACACACACACATACACACACACACACACACACACACACACCTACCTTATCCACCCCTCAGCTCTCTGAGTTTTCACCCCTCGGTGCCAAATCAGCCCTCTCTGCTGGAGAGGTTACTCCAGGGTCCACAGGTGACCTCTGCCTCATCAGCATCCAGTCAGAACTGGCCACCACCAGCCACACACTTCCCTGAGGCAGAGGCCTGTGTGCCTGGTTGGGGGCAGGGAGAAGCTGGCTTCAGCACACAACTTGTAAAGTGAAGGAAGGCGGTGGGGAGAGAGTGATGGGGTGGAGGGAGGCAAGCCTCAGCAAGAAGACCTACCTAGTTCATTCATTCATTCGCAAGCAACCTCTGGTGGCCTTCTGTGGACTTCTCGCTAGGCACTCAGTACTCAAACAAGAATTTGTTACGCCTGGCAGTGAGTTCAATTGGGCTTTTCGACACTTGTCCCCTTCCTCCCCTGCCTTGCTCTGTAAATTGTTTCCAAAGATAAACACAAAGTCCCTTTCCAAAACGCCTCTGGACTCACAGCCTGTACTTGCCTGCCCATCCCCCTCCAACTGTCACTTCTCAACTCACAACACAATAATACACACCCCTCCGGATCTGCACAGACATACGTACACACCCGCAACTGGATCTAGTTTCTCTGCTGCACACAGGAGCCCTTGAGGATCAGAATAGACCAGAGTACCCGCTCCCACACCCCCACTGTCTTCCTCCTCTCCGTTCCCACCTTCAGACACTGTGCACAGTCCGTGGAGAAGGCTTCCGGCTGGAACTGCTGAACCTGGACAGGTGGGCGGGCCAGAGCGGGAGCTTGACTTACCTGGAACCGCAGCGGGTGGGCGGGGCGGAAGTGCAGGTGGAGGGAAGGCGGGGCAGCAACCGGGATTTGCAGCGCCCTCAGCAGGGAGGACTCATCTTAACACCTCGCCAAGTATTGAGGGGGAAGCAGATTTGCTCCCTCCCCAAATATTATGGATTAATGCAACTGGAATGCAGAAGGGGTCCAGGTTGTCCCTGAAGGGACAGACCTCAGCAGGCACTGCTACCAGCCCTGATAAACAAATGGATTTCTGGTGCCGGTACAAAGTCCAAAGTTGAAGCTGGGAGTTTTACAGGCCTGCAAAGGCAGTGAGCGAGATGGGACCATCAGGGGAGGGAGCGATGAGCAGTCTTCCCAGAGAGAGCCTGAGAGACCAGGCATGTTTCAAACTTCCCTGCAAAGTGTTAGTGTGTGTGTGTGTGTGTGTGTGTGTGTGTGTGTGTTGCAAAGGGGGTCCAAACCTTCATCTGGGTCTCGTGGTTCCTTTGACCCCAGCTGCCAGGCCCTTAGCTCTCCTCTTTGCTTTCCTTTGCCTTTCTCGTGAGGACTGGTTCCCCATTGTCCTTCAAGATACAGCTCAGGGGATCACCTCTACACTGGCCAGAACAGCCTAGGACAAGCTTGGTGTCAGTGTTTGTCAGGATCATCTTGGGCTTACTCCTGCCTAGGCTGCCTCCTCTATCTACTTGGATGGTCTCCCAGGGTGGAAGACAACCTCTGGGGTTCTCTGGGCCTTCTGTAACCAGCGAAACACCCGAAGCTGGACAGGATCAACAGGTAACTCAGGGAGAAAGGATTGCCTGTGTTACTGATACTGGGGAATGGGTGTGCCAGGATCCAGGACCAAGAGGGCACAACTGTAGAGAGAGAGGGCTGCCCAGAGGAGCTGCAAAGCGGATGATAAAAAGTTCAGTCAGATGGTGGTAGTGCACTCCTTTAATCCCAGCACTCGGGAGGCAGAGGCAGGCAGAGCTCTGTGAGTTTGAGGCCAGCCTGGTCTACAAGAGCTTGCTCTAGGACAGGCTCCAAAGCTACAGAGAAACCCTGTCTCAATGAAGGAAGGAAGGAAGGAAGGAAGGAAGGAAGGAAGAAGGAAGGATCCGAGAAGTCCTCAATTTCCTGACAAAGGAGGCTGGAAGGGAGGAGAGCAGGAGTAGGGAGGGTTAATAAGTTACAGGCTGCAGGCCTGCTTTACCTTCTCGAATATGAGATAAGACACGGAGTGGCAGGCATCCTGCTTGCAGCCCCGACTTATCCAGATGCGATGGTTACTTCTCCATGCAGACAACCAAAGCCTTTCCCAATTGGGAGTAATGTCCCTCCCCTCTTGCCTACAGACAGTGTGGGTTCAAGGCCTTACATTAAAGACCTGCCTTAATTTTCATAAGAAGTACTATGGCTTTAGAGCTCACATAGGTTTTTCCTCTCTGCCCCCTCTGGCCCCTCGCAACCGCTACTTGGTGTCACTCTAGTAAGGGGGCGTGGCCACTTGTCTTAAGCCCTTTGGGGCTAGCATCTACAATGGGTCACTCCGCTGTTTCTTGGTCTCGTGAAGTTTTTGTTGTTGTTTTGTTGGGGGGGGGATTGCATATCTAATTTTATTTTGAGACAGGAGCTCTCTAGTGACCCAGGCGGCCCTAGAACTCATTGTGAGTGGAGGCTGGCCTCGAACTCACAGAGACCCACCTGTTTCTGCATCCTAAGTGTTGGAGTTAAAAGCATGCACCACCATGCTCAGCCTGTCTCGAGAATTTTTGTTTTGCTTTGCTTTGTTTTAGCAGGAACATAGTGAAACTGTCTGCAGAGCAGAAGTCTGTATGCAGGGCCTGGAGGGTCTTGGGATGGAGTCCCGGGAACGGCCCTTTGCCATGTTCTCTTCCTGTATCAGCCTGCCCCTTCCCTCTCTACATACACTGTGTGCCAGCTGTGCTCACTTCCTTCCTATGCCCAGACCGTGCGGTGATCTCTTTTCCACAGCTCTGCACACTGTGACCCCAGCTTCCCAACTGACACTTTCAACTCCTGCCCCATATCTATCTCCAGCTTTTTCTAAGATAATTATTCTTCCAAGGCTCCTCACTTCTAGGGTCCCAGCTTGGGAGCTCTTTAGATCAAACTTCCCTGCCACTCCCTAATCTGGGTGAGGCACCCTCCTCTCCTCTCTATTGTCAGGAAACAGGGGGAGGGGTCTGCCCCAGGCCCCACCCCAGGAAGTGCAGGACTGGATCTCTGTACCGCCCAGGCAGTATTGACCCCACAGATGGGTGTACAGATCTTGGGGACTGGAGTATATGGACCTATCCCAGAGGGGTCAATAGGAGTAGTCCTGGGAAAAAGTAGTTCAGCACTTAAAGGGATTAAAATTTTACCAAGAATTATAAACTATAATTATACTGGAAAAATTAAAATTATGTTTGGAGCCAGGGTGGGAGTCTTTGTCATCCCTTAAGGAGCGAGAATAGCTCAACTTGTGCTTTTGCCCATGTTTTGCTCCACTGATCCATTTTTAAAACAAGAACAAGGGAATAAGGGGTCTGGCTCCACAGGACTCCCTGGAACTTTTTGGGTTTCTAGTTTAGAGAACCGCCCCACACTTATATTAACAATTAATGGGGAAAAGTTCAAAGGTCTTCCAGATACTTGGGCTGATTCTTCTGTGATTGCTAAAAAACATTGGCCCGTGGCCTGGCCTCTATAACATTACAGGGGTTAGGAATGGCCAGTTCTCCAGAGCACAGTACCCAATGTTTACATTGGAAGGATGATGAAGGTCATAAGGGCATTTTTAGACCATTTGTCCTGGAACACCTTCCTCTCAATTTGTAGGAAAGAGATACTTTGCAAGCTATGGGGGCAGTTCTGACTGCTGAACCTGTGCAGCATACATTAGCAGACCAGGGCTTTAGCCCCAGTTGGGGGCTAAACGGAGATCCTCAGGGGGATCCACAGGCTGTTACTGAGGAAGGGTTGACTGTGGGGCGTGGCAGGGACAGAACAAGGTTGGAAAATTTATTCTGAGGGCCACTGTTTAGCCACAAGTTGCAATTCACATCAAACGGAGAGAAACTAGGCCAGTATGGGTGGAACAGTGGCCCCTATCAGAAGAAAAGTTACTGGCTGCTCAGCAGCTTGTGCAAGAACAGTTAGCTGCTGGGCATATAGTCCCATCCCCTTCCCCTTGGAATACCCTCATATTTGTTATCAAAAAGAAATCTGGCAGTTGGCGACTATTGCAGGACCTCAGGCAGGTTAACAAATGTATGGAAATTATGGGATCATTACAGCCAGGATTGCCAAGACCTGTGACTATCCCTAAGAATTACCATATGGTGGTGATTGCCCTCAAGGACTGCCTTTTTTTAACTATTCCTTTGCATTCTGAGGACTCACCCAAATTCGCTTTCAGCATTCCTTCTATTAATTTCAGAAAGCTGCACCAAAGGTACCAATGGGTTGTTTTGCCCCAGGGCATGGCTAATAATCTAACTTTGTGCCAGTTATGTTTTCAGAGCTTTGCAGCCCCCAAGGGAGCAACATCCCCAACTATATTCATTATATGGATGATATTCTTATTGCAGCCTCAAAGAAATGTTATTTGCATGCAGGGTTGCAAACACTTTATGAGGGATTGCAATGGTCTGGTTTAGTCGTTGCCCTTGAGAAAATGCAGACTATGTTTCCTTCCTGGAGTTCGACCACAGAAAAACCACTCTTAGAATAGATCAGCTCCGCACTCTTAATGACTTTCAACAGCTTTGGAGGGACATTAATTGGATTAGACCATCAATGGAATTAACAACAGGAGAGTGAAAACCCTTATTTGAAATCTTTAGAGGTGACTCAAACCCCACGTCTCCTGGGCTACTGACACCTGAAGGCCGTGAATGTCTTAGATTAGTCAAACAACGGTTAGCAGAAGTCCATCTGAATTATACTGATTATCTCCAGCCTTTGCTTCTGCTGGTCTTCTGCACAGCCTTGCAGCCCATTGCAGTCTTTTGGCAGGAGGGACCTATTCCCTGTGTTCATGGACGAGACTCTCCCAAAAAGGCTGTGCAGCCCTGTCATCTGGCTGTCCTGCAGGTGCTGCACACAGCCTACCTTGAGAGTCTTAGGACATTTGACAAAATCCCTGGTAAAGTGATTGTTCCGTACAATCAGGAGCAGCTTGGCTGGCTCCAGTTATTTAGCCCAGAACAGACCATCTTTCTAACCACTCAGTCTGCTGAATTCGACAACCATTACCCCCCTAATAAATTAGTAAAATTTTGAGAAACACCTGGTTTGCTTTCCTAAAATTATTTTGCTAGCTTTCCTAGATTGCGCCCTTAATGCATTTACAGGATCCTCTGTAAAGACACAGCTGCTGTAGTCACAGTCTAGAAGACTGTTAAAATAAAAGTTCCATACAAGGAATTGGCTGTCCTTCATTTAGCCTTAGTTACCTTTCCAGCTAACCTATTAATCTTTTTACTGATAGATTCAAACCGTAACACTCACTGTAGAGGGAAGATTAGATAAAGGAGACCGTGATCGTGTTAATATCCGGGGGAAGAAAAAGCAGCCAGGATGGGTACCAAGCAGCAGAGAGCATAGCTGGCTGGCTCAAGCAACAGGAGGGATGCTACTGGATGGAGTGTGGCAAGGAAGGCGAGAAAGATGTATGTCACTGATTCAGAGGTACATGAGTCTGCCCCTCCTGAAGATGACCCAGCCACTGCAGTTCTGGCTTGAGGAGACAGGGTAGAAGCAGGGAGGCCAGGTAGAATGCTGATGCCAGCACTTAGACAAGAGTAGACGTGGCCTCACGGAGGCCAGGAGGAAGCAGAGAAAATGCTCAGGTTACAGATAGAACTTGAAGGTGACGTCAGTAAGATTTACATATTGGATTTTGGATTTGACAAAATAACAGAAATCAGAGTTTTGTTCTGAAGATTAGAGCTGCCATTTACCCAAGACAGGAAGACTGGAGTGCACAGGATAAGGAGAACCTATGCTCCCAGGACCCTTGGTCTGGCGCACAGTGGATGTCTGAAAGACAGACAGACACCCTAGTAACACAGACAGGATGCATAGCACCAAGTAGCCTAGATGAAGCAGTTCTGAACATGTGTGATTGAGAACCAACAAAATGTGGAACCAGCAAAGTCTTGTGTCTGGCAAGATAGCCAAGGAGCAGGTGTGAGAGAAAACTCTAGACTGTGCCAGGAGC